CCCGAGCTCCAGTGCTGCCCAGTTTGGCAGCCGGGGCCACAGCGCTGTGACCGGGGTGCTGAGCAGCACCGCTGCTGCCACCCCATGGGCGCTGAGCACCAGGGGACCGGCGTGCCAGGGACCCTCCCTGTGCAGCGAGGGGCCCCCCAGCTCCCCGCGACTGGAGCGCGGCCGCGTGCCCCAGTCCCCGCATCGCCTGGGGTGCGTAGGGGGACCCCGTCCTGCGCCCCGCAGAGCCGCTTGTTATTCCGCTCATGTCCGCCGGCAGCTAATGAAGCCCGTTCCAGGAGAGCTGCCACATTCATGGGGAGAGCGGCTTATTAATGAGGCCTCTGCCACCGCAGCTGGGGCCAGCGCTCGGGGCACTGGCACGGGGACAGGCAGCGGGAGGGCGGACGGACGGATGGACGGACGGACAGACGGATGGCTCCGTGGCAGGGTGAACCGGCAGCCGGTGCCTGTCCTGGCTGAGATGCTGGTCCGAAGCCGGGGCTGGAGCAGGGCAGGACACCCTGACCCAGGGTCTGCTCGGAGGGGACAGGCCGAGACCCAGCACCGTGGACCCACTTCCATGCTGCCCCCGACCCCTCTCCCGCTGCTCCTCGCCCCCGGCTGTGGCTTGTTTCTGCTTTCGGCCAGGGCCAAACCTGCCCCGTGGCACAACCTGGGCATGGCGGCGAGGGCACGGAGGGGTCCGGGCTGGGGGCTACAGCGTCCCCCCCCAGGGATGCAGGGACTCTGCCCTGGCCAGGCCCAACTTCCCTCCAAACCCGTTGGCAGGATGCACTGATTTTATTTTCTGTTTCCACGGCAACTGCCTCCTTCCCTTCCCCCTTTTGGCAGCTGGACCCACTCCTTCACCCTCCTGCAGCACCCAGCCCCAGCCAGCACCCACCCTCCGCCGGGGACACAGGGGACACAAGCTGTGACCCAGCACGGTCCCCTCCTCCAGGGACTCTCCTGGGTGGCAATGCCACCAGCTCAGCATCCACAGGCAGGGCCCAACCCTGCACCCTGGTGCCCACCACGGCGCCGGTGGGTGATTTTGGGGGAGCAGCCGGCAGGGCTGGCACGGGATTGGGAGCGGGCGCGGGGGACACCAACCCTGGTCAGCCCCTCTCTGACACCAGCAATAATTAGCAGCAGGGCCGGCAGGACGCCGTGCTGGTTCATTAGCCAGGGCGGTAATTGCCCCCCCGGCACTGCCCGCGCGGGGACGCCTAGCAGCACCTCCCGTTAGCAGAGCCAAGCTCATTAACGGCACGTCCTACCCCGACACCTGCTCATGGATGATGTGCCGCGTCTCCGGCACTTCCCATGCAGCGGCACTGGCGGGGAGGACACCAGCACCGCAGCGGCCCAGCCACGAGTCCAGTGCCCTCACCCCTTTGGGAGGAAATGCTGGTTTGTGGCTTAAAAGCAGGGCTATAATAAGATAATTGTAATTATATCCTTTTATCCATCCCCTTCCAGAGGGACGCACCCGTCGCCACCCTGCACAGCTCCTTCCCAGCGCGGAGATGCCACCACATTGTTATTTAGCATTAATTACCAGCTGTGCCAAATCCTGCCCTTCCCGGCCCCCCCCCGGCCCCCCTGGGACCCCCGGTCCCTCCGCGCAGGCAGGGGGAATAAAGGCCGGGGCACA